AAAGATTGAAGTAACCAGTGAGCCAACAAAGGCTACAGGACTACTTGAACATTCTGTGTCTAAACTATCTAGCTGGGTGGCATCAAGCTCCGTTCCGGCGGTCATTGGAGGCAGCAGCCTTGCATCTCTTTTGTCCTCCGTCACAGAAGCGGCCACATCAATCAGTGCCGCATCTCAGCCAGCACAATCGTCTGCTTCAACAGGATATGCCAATCTGCCATCGGGTCAGGACAATGCACCACTTAACACGTCAGCAGCAACTCCTTCCGCCTCAGCCCATCTCGAAAGCAGCGTGATTGGTCCCTCATCAATTCCGACTCTCTCCAGCAGTCCATTCTCTCCGACGAGCATCACTTCTACAACAGCGTCCTTGGCAGCTTCGATGAGCTCAGTGATCGCGGGCATGCCATCAAGCTCTACTCAGCCCAGAGTAACAAAGACCGAGACTCCTGCATCGAATGTAACCGCACCTGTTCAATCTAGCAGCTCTCGGATCGACAGCTCGGCTTCGAGCGGCAGCGTCACGACTTCTGCATCTACCAATCCCGACAAGACTGCTTCTTCAACCATGACTCGACCGCAACCCATACCCATTAATCCAATTAACGGTAACATGACAAGGCCAACAAGCACGATTGCTACCACATCAGCGCAAACAACTGGGTACATATCTCCGCCGGCACCAGGAAACGGCACCGTTTCCTCCTCGTCGGCTTTCGCAACCACATACTCGGCAGCAAGCAGCCTCGCAAGCACTGCTACGATTTCGTCATCTTTTGGCTTATCTGGCTCTTTCACACAAACCTTCATCGTGTCGAAGACTAGTCAGATTTTGAGTACTGCGACATCTAGTCAGGCGGCGGAGATCTCAGATGCACCACTTTGGGGGAGCGATCCAACAACTGCGCAATCAACCCCCGCTTCAGAAATTTCCGCGTCGTCTTCCGTTGACTTGGGACTTCTACCTTTTCCGCTTGAACCTCCGCTTCAAACGGCACCTACTGGGTGGACGAACAGCTCAACTTCAAGCGCCACTCGCGGAACTCCCACTCCCAGTGCACCATTATTTACAGCTAGTATTGTCATCAGTTCCCAAGAAACCAGATCAGGTAGCTTGCGCGACATATCTACATTATTTCCTTTCTTATCCACCACCACGTCCGCTATTCTCTCTACTCCTACATCGCTCAGCGGCTTCATAACGAAGACGAAGACGGGGACTGAGAGCTCGGTTGCCAGCTCGCGCACAAGTTCGATGTCTACAAACACCTACGACACAACCCTCAGGACTCGAACATTGACCAACGTGCCCACTAGCAGTGCTACCGAGACAGAGGCCGCTGCAGCTCCACCCTCGAAGCCATTGACGCCAGAGGAGACTGCCGGGGTCGCTATAGGGAGCACAGCTGGAATCCTACTTGCTATAGTCGCCGCCATCTTCGTCGCTCGCCGCTATCATGCTATTCATACGGCAAAGCGTGCCAGTGGTGGCTCATCGGGTATCTACCCCAAACTGGGATACTTGTACGATCCTTCACTCGGCGAGAACGGTGGCAGTGGCAGCGCATCCGATGATGCACTCATCTTCATGTCTGGTGGAGCGAGTGGCTTGCCTTCGACTGGAAGCAGAACACCACCTCGCGTGCCGAAGAACTCTCGCGAGTACGATCCTCGCGGTTGGCTCAACATCAGTGCGCAGAATTACAGCGACCCTGGCAACCCCTGGAGAGAAGACCCATTCCGAGATCCCGAAGACCCCTTTAGAGACCCCTTTAGAGACTGGAGAGGTAGCGATGCGATTACCTCGCCGAGTGATCCTGGATCTGATCTTGTTGCGGAGGTGATAAAGTACGCTGCGGGCCCGCAAAGACCTCTGCCCCCCGTACCGGCGTCTCTGACACCACTCTTCCGCGACCATGTTATTCCATCGCCGACTATAAGTCCAATCATGAATAGCTGCAGCTTAAAGCGTAGTCATTCTGTGTCTTCAAGGCGAAGCAGTGTCAAGAGCCAAAGGTCCCTAAGGAGCCTTCGTGCCTGTCCTTCGCCAGATTCCGAATCGAGAAACGTCCCACCGATATCTCCTTCCTGGCGTCGAGCGAGTAAGATCCTAGCATCTATCAGAGAGGGACACGCAGACGACCCTCTTCCAGACCCGATCGAACATGACCTTCTTCTGCCAGTCGATGTAAGATCGGAAACACCGGATTCAGTGATGGTACATGTATATGCGCCAGCACCCGTAAGCAGGACGCCATTGCGACCGATGTTGTCTACGATACTGTCGGACGACGAAATGTCACTACCAAGCATAGCAGCCGCAAATTCATTAGCAGTTGTACCACCTCGGTCAACTGGCAGCATCCTCTTTCCCACACTCAAAGACGACCGATACGTATACACTTCACTCCCTTCAACCAACATCCCATCACCATCACCACCACATTCCGAACGAGCAGATAGCGACAAGACAATAACCCAATCCACCTACTCCGTCCGGCCATCATCTCCAACCCCAACAACCACTTCCGCACCTCGGAACAAAGGTTGGGAAGAGATAAAGCGCACATCCAACGGCTCATCCAGTCTCATGTCCTCGCGCCCACCCACACCACCTTTCCACCACTTCGCTCTTCCACCGCGACCCAATCTCACCCCTCCGCCTCCCCTCAAGAAACGTTCTTTGATTCAACTCCGTCGCAAGACACCCTTGGCTGGCCCCGGTCAACTCTTGGTTCCGCCTCACAACCACTACTCTTCTCCTTCGTCTTCGCCCTTGACAGTGCAGACGAACTTCATGGTCAATTCGAACAAGAGCTTTGAAGGGCCGAGGATGAGTTTGCTAGCCAAGGTGCACAGCATGAGCGATATGAGAGACGAGACAACGAGTCCGAAGAAGAAGAAAGGCATTGGGCTTGGGATTGGATATCGCGATTCCATCTCGCGGAGGGTAGGACGGGTTTCGAGATGGGGTCCTGAGGATGTGGGGACGAAGTTTTGAGGTTTTTCCTTTGGCTTTGGCCACGGCTTTGCATGCAGCATGTCTCTTTGGAGTTTTGGTTTGTCGCCTGTCGATACACTCCACGCGACAGTTATATCTCCTAAGTCTCAGTACAACGGTCTATCATAACGACTCCGCCCAATGTCGAACGAAGCGTTCCACTACGCATCTCTCATGTCTCACTCTTCCAGCAGTTTTACTGGGGCGTCTTGCTTGAAGCGTTATACACATTAGATTATCCCACTTTGTGCTGTTACTTTGTTCACTGCGCTACAGAAACACTTCTCTTGTACATAGGATCTGTATAGCTAGTTTCTAATCCTACTTAATAAACATGAACACCCGTACTTTTTGACGCAGCACTCGTGATTGAACGTTTTCGCGCAGCCATTTCTCGAGTAGCGAATGCATCAGGTAAATGACAATGTCAGTATAACGAGACCGCTCACGTTATCTCTGCACAACAGAACAACAATACGATGCTCTTACTCTTCTCGGTCAATGCATCGTACATCACTTTCTTGCGGTGAGAGCCTCATGCAATCTTCCCACCCGCAACCCTCGACATGCACTGCTTCCTTGCAAACACCTACATACATCACCGGTATGTACCATCTCCCCAGAACAAGTCTGATGCAACCCACCCACGCACTAAACCCACGCGCACCACGCTACCCAGGATACCCTTCGCCCATCTCTCCCCCTACCAGCACCACACCCATCGTACGATCCGATTCGTATTCAAACCTCGCCAAAACCCCCCCATTCCCAATACCATTCTCCCAAAACAGCCTTTGGGCATCCATCCTACCTACAAGGTAAGGTCAGGTCAAGTCTGCCCGTCACCTTTCGCTAGCCCCAAACCTTAACCCTACATACACCGGCACGCGCCCGACCACCACGCGTAACTGGCTGCCGGGCGCCGGGGCAACTTCCCGGGCTGATAGCAGCGACCTAATACGCTGGCGCCAAAGTCAGGGTAATTGTGCTTGTTCCTGGGAGCGGCACGCGATTATCGGAAGCAAGAGGAGCATGGGACAAAACTAGGCCTTGGGTGGTAAATGCGCGCACCTGCTTTTACCCTGTCTACGTCTGCAGTCTGTGCCTTCGCGCGCGTCTGTGAGCTGCTGCATGTATGCACGATGGTGTTGCGTTTTGTGGGAACGGAATCATGAAAAAATTTGGGCTGCTCAGGGATCGCGTGCAACTGGTGCATCGTGCATGTATGTATCTTTTGTTTTTCGTATCTCAGCTTCGTATGTACATGCAAGGCTAGCATCGTGCAGTTTAAGCGGCGGTAGCGGTGAACCGCGAAATGGCCTTCGAACCCTCTCGCGATCGAGCCGCAGAATGCAGGCTGGGCTGTGGACGGAGAGAACTCCGGTGCACCATGGCCTTGCTTTTTCTCAGCCTTCTTTGCCCACATCCGAGCCCTGCCGTGGGTAAGAGGGTGTTCAGCCGAGTTCGACCGGGGGCTTCTCCTTCTAGAAAGAAACGACGACCTGCATATGAGATGAAACGAAAAAGCAAAAACGCAAACGTCATTCGGGGATTAGCAGCACGAGGAGATTTGCAATCTCGTATGCAGGATGATCTCTCGATTGATGCTCATGGTTCGCACTGGGGTATAATCTAATAGTGTTTGTACATCGTAATATTGGGACCGTAGAAGATCCGGGGCCCAAGAAATTCCCCCAGCGAACCATTCTGGGATGGTGTGGCCTGGGCTTTCCAGGGCAGGTTGCGGCTTCCTCCGCGCCTCGTGGAATATGATCCAGAACGTGATAGCCAAAGGTGTATCCTACAGATCGTTCCAGATCGTACTGGCCTTCAATGGACCAGAGTCGAAAGCGAGATTCGCTGCTCCAACACATGCATCGCCAGTATCCTCCTCCACCCTCTGGCCATCAGCTTCGAGCCAAAAACAAAGGCGCTGACAGCCACCACCAACCTTCACCACCATAGTTTGATGAATCACCGATATGCTCGCGGACAGGCATCAGGCCACGTCTGAGCCGCTGCGCTTGTTCCTCCTACGAGCCCACAACTCGTGAAGCCACTTGTGAGATGCTTCGACGTCGGTGGGACCGGGGCACAGCGGGAGCCTCTGTCGGAATTCCTTCTCATACTTGCGGATCGCTAAGTGAAGCTCGATCTCCTGCGACATGCTCTCCAGCAGCATCTTTGCTTGTTCATGATCCTTGGGGAGGGTGTTAAGAGTCGCTTCAGCCACAACTTTAGCTTCGTCCGCCGACACTCGAGAGAGGTTGCAGAAAAGCTGACGCTTGAAAAACTCCATGGATGTATCCAGGAGAGGTGCCAGCCCGCCAAGCTCGCGAGTGAGGATGAGCTGAGCCTCCGTGTACATCCAAGATCGCGTCGGGTGAAGTGAGCTGCGATGCAGTAGCTGCACTTCAAGAGGGTTTACCTTGGTGGCACCTGCACGGACACAGTTCTGCAGCTCCTGTCTCAGTCCGTTGGCGTCAAGGCATGAGTTGAGAATGGGGTTGTCAGAGTTGAGGTTAACGCCCTGAGTCTCAGCCTTGTTGATGCGGACCCAGACGAAGAGGGTGTGCACTTGTCCTGGAAACAATCGGCGAATCTCCTTGTCCCCACAGACAAAGAGAATCTCACAACCTGCCTTAGTCCGGAGTTCGACCGTAAAGTCAAACAGTTCGCCAACAGGCTTCTCAGACCGAGCATTCTTCAAGATACGCTTGATACGACCGGACGTGGATTGGTACTTGGACCAGTTGCTGGCGAAAACGTTCTTGCAGCAGTCTTTAAGACAGATGGTATCCTGGAACTCTGGTTCGCGGCGATATGGGAGCAGCGCAGGATTGATGCGGTGAATGTAGAAATCTGGAAAGGACTTCGATACATCGTGCAAGACATGGGCTGCAGGAGACAGCACGATGACATGAGTTCGACCGGCCTTGAGGTGCTCGCCCTGCATGGATCTCGCGATGCCAAGGATGACATCAGTCATGGAGGGGTTCGGACGAGGCGGATGCCAGACTTGCGAACCAGAGTGCGCGATCCTAGACGTCAAATCCTGAAAGATCTCATCGACTTCCGTACAGACGGGTCGAAGTGCATAAAGCACTTCTGGCCTGTTTCCGGTGACATCACGGTGGGTGCAGTGAGTAGTGTAAAGCGCCACGCGATCCTCGCCGCCAAGATGATACTAAAAATGTTAGTAGATTGCTTTTGAGCGACATCAACGATGGTGGTTTACCAAGGCTCCATTAACCGCATCCAGCGACCTCTCGAGACAAGCCGGAGTCACATAGTAACTATACACAATGTCAGCTAGCATCGTGGATCCCGCCATGCAGGCACTTACCCGTTGTCTACCACGAAGATCACATCAATACCGGTATCGGGCAGAGGCTTTCGGTTGTGCAGGACACCCTCGATCTCGATAGCGACGCCGATGTCTTGGTAATCCTCGGTGAGAAGCTTGACCTCAGGGAACAGTCTAACCGCTGGGCGCAGGGTTGTCGGCAAGTGTGAGGTCAAGTCTGACACCTGTGCCTCCGAAGCCTCATGATCAAAGTCAGTCGGGGAAGGAATGCGCTTTGAGATACATCCTATAATTGAGGTGAACTCGTTTCCGCTGGATCATATTAGTGACTGTTGCATATCTTCGCCGGTGTTAACGTACTTGCGGGCGTTTCGTAGCAGGTAAGCCCCGAGAGCCTCGTCATCCGGATGCTGCACCTCTGAGCCTTCTTCGGTCTCGTCGTGGGCTGCGAGCGCTGTAGCTGCTGTTGGCGAGGTTGCACCCGGCATATCGCTAATGCCAACGCTAGTCTCTCCAGTGTTGTGACGACGTAAGAGAGGTAGACCACTGGTGAACGATCGAAGCTTTGACGACATGCGCCGCTTCAGGGGTTCGGCGCTACCTTCAGTGTTGCTAATCGCCTTCTCAAGAGCCTGTTGCGCGTTCATGTGTTCAGCGCTATCGGCGACAAAGAGAGGGTGCGCAGGCTCGCTCGACGCCACATCGATCAACGGCCAAGGGGTCAGTGCAGTGGTAGGCATAGAACGTACTGGGTCGCCGTTTTCGGGCTCGACATGGCTGTTCTTGCGCGAGAACGCCATCTGATCTCCAAAGCTGGATCCTGAGGCTGAGGACCGACTGTTTCTGTTCTTGCGTATCGTCAGAGGTTGGTCGCTCGGAGCGCGACTAACAGGCAGAGGTGTTACGGTCCACGAAAAAGGCGCTCTGAGCGGTTGCGCCCAGTCAAAGACGGATGAGTTGAAGCTGTAGTCGGGCGGTGACTCCCAGATATCGCTCTTGATCTCGTCGATGATGTCGTCGAGCGGACCGAACACGTACTGATCGTCGCAATAGGTAGGAGTTGACTTACGGAATATTCGCCTTCGAAAAGTAGCTTTTCGCGATTTCTTCTGGATGTGGAGGGGAGATGGGCAGAGAGGCGCGCGGTCCAGAAAGACGCTGCCAGCTGTTGTTGTTGTGATCATTATGGACGCGTCCCAATTAGGCACAAATAAAAGCCCAGTCACCGCGGCGCGCTCTCGTTCACCTCGACTTTCTTGAGAACGCGTGGCCTTGCTATCAACAGTGACGTCAGATGGCAAACGGAATCTGGAAGATAGATAAGAAGAGTAGGCAATGCCCAAGTTGAGATGTAGAGTGGATGTGCGAACAGACGTTGGAAGTCCAACGGTGAGGTGAGGTTTAAAGGTGAGAGGCACTGCTACAAGCCGGGAAGGTGCGAGGTGGGCACGTCAACAAACCTACGATGCCCCTTCCTACTTCTGAAAAAAGACAATCTCATCAAGAACTCGCACCAAGACGCGTTCATGTTCATGCTTAGCTTCTGAACGGCAACGCATAGCTTGTACCAGATATTTGATGCGGACTGTAATCCAAACAGTCCTTTCATTACGCCTCGCCCAGTTGTGCGGCAGCCACTTCTAAATGTCTCTTCATCTTCTCGTGCATCTCCTCGTCCGCCTCGCGAAAGCGAATCTATCATATGAGTAAGCAGTGGCTTAGTCAGATATGGCTGTGACCTACAATGTCTTCTCCAGCGCCAGCGCCGAACAGGACTGGTTCCGATATACTAGCCTTGACTGCTTTTCTTACACGTTCCTCCCAGACCCCCTCCCAGTTCCACTCTCCGGGTCGGCGATTACGTCCCAATGCAGATGAACCTTCTGACTTGTCCGTTGTGGAAGGGTCGGGACTTGGAGTTGCTCGGTCTGACTGTTGCGATTGCAATATCGGTGCGCGGTGCGCCCGCCATGCATGATACGCACCTGGATTCGCAGCAGCCTCTAGCGGAAGTGAGTCCAATATTGACTCCTCACTAAAGGTTGAGCGGATGTACTCTATCATGCGCACAATGGAGTACTCCGCAGTAGACTGAGAAGCCCCGAGGACGCCAGATGCGACATTAGAGTCGGATCGCGCGGGAATAGCATTTGAAGATCCACTGACATCGCGAGAATTCGGTACAGATCTTCGAGCTCTGCCGAACCAGTGCGGGAAGCCGTGCCGGAGACTGAAGCCTCCTGGTGGCAGCCGCTCCTCATCCGTGGCACTGACGGTATCCGTGTCGGCGGAGCCAGTCGTGTAAGTATACGTGGTAAGTGGCGTGAGCAGCGGGTGAAAGACATCGGTAGAAAAGGTCACGAGGGGGGGTATAGTAGGATAGCTGGGTGGGAAGGAGATTTGGAAGCGTAAGACTGCAGGCGCATATGGTCCTGTCAAACGTGAATAACGTTGCAAGGAACGCAACGCCGTGGCGTAGCCCTATAGAACAGCCTACCTTTTCGCACGAATATTACACCTACCCACAGTGTTGGGTCGCCGGGCGTGATGCTCAAGAAAACGCCATCCAGCTGTGCATAGCGCAGACGGGTGCTGTGCAGAGTTAGGAAGCGCCGCTGCTAGCCGTGTGCCTCGACTCACAACTCGACGAGAAGATGCTGCTTCCGAAACGACGGGAGAGCCGACGCAGAGACGGACAACGGCATCTCGAGAGCAACGATGATGGTTGTAGGTCGTTCGGCATCTGCAAGCACGGCGCCTGCGATAGAGAGCCGAAGCGCGTTCGACGCTAGTGCTAGCCGATCTGCGTTCTCACCTGCTTGAGTCTAACGCGCTTCCCCGCCTGCCATTCGTTGAGCGTGCAACACCACCAACACCCTTCTGTATCTCACCGGGTCGCGAAAGGAGATGCGCGCATGGTAGCATCGTGGGGGATCTGGGCTGCCCATCAACGTGGCAGTTCGCGAGTGGTGTTTGATGAGGTCGAGCTGATTATTCGTGGACGCAACGCCCTGTCGAACACCATCCCTACACCACCTCTACATATATTCGCGGTAACACTGCATGCATCTTCCTCACCCGCCCGATGCCGGGCTGCCGCTCCATCCCCGTCGTCCATCTATGTCAGACATGCTCGGGACGTCATCTGCGGCCCTGGGACAAGGCTCTGTCTGCATGCTGAGACCGAGTATCTGTGCCGACACACTCGCAACGGTCCGGCTGAACGCACACCACCGGACTCACGTCAGAATACCATGGCGGGTGCATGACCGCATGCGCCGTTGGGACTGGCGAGTCAGAGCAGAACTGGCTCACACACACCTACATCGTCTCGAAACGCCTGTGTCGGGACATGAGGTTAGCCATCCCGCTTTGCGCTTGCCGAGCCAGCCTATACACCAGCATCAGGATAATCAACTTTCGCCCTCCTACGCTTATTTCGAGACGCTGTGCCGCGCTGGTGATGATTGATGACCACGTCGTACAAGGTTCGGGTCGAAATGCGCTGGCTCCAGTCAGCCCACTATTGGTAGCCTAAGGCGATGGTATTATACGTCGTCGCAACCGAGGGCAAAAGAAGGCAGACAAAGCCTCGCACGTACAGTCGACGCCGCATCGAACATCTACCTGATGCAGAATGATCGGGCAGCATCATTCCGATCGACCCACGCTGCCGGTTTCAAGGCTGGCTTTTCGTTTTTGTACACTCGTGCCGACAAGCGCGTGAACACCCCAATCCTCCGAAATCTCTCTAACCCACGCCGCCTGCATCTGCTGTCATCTTCGTCGCGGCACGACGCTATGAGTTATGCTATTGCCTAAGGGCAAAGAAGCATGGTGTCATTCTCGGAGGATTCCAGTAGAGCAATAAGAGGGCCAGGGGGCGTAAACCTAAAGGCGCTAAAAAAGGCGGTGGCTGTCTCAGACGCTTCCATCTTCTTGCGAACCCTGTCCCTCGCGTGGAAATCTGCAGGCCAGCCTTACATATCCACACCGCCATGACCGCTTAGGCCAGGTTGCGTCGAAACAGCCGTTGTGCCCTGGACACCTTTGCACCAGCGAGCAGAGATCGCTGGTATACCGCGACAGCTCACTTACAGCACATGACGGAAGCATGTCCGGGGCCCACCGGAAATGGGAGTGCTGGCAAAACCTAATCAAGCGGTCTGAAATGGGCAGCAGTACAGATGCTACGTCGCCGCAGAAGGGCGCAGAGCCTCGTCAGCTGATGGGGGTCCTAGGGTTATGATGCCTTGATGACTGATGAGAATGCAATCACGATGTGTGACCAGCAATGACAGATGCAAGCAGCAAGCCACGTCCTGCGACCCGGTTGGGCCCAATGCGCAGGCGTGGGAAGCTTCGAAACTACGCTGACCGGACAGGGGGGCAGAGAGATGATACCTGGGGCAGCAAATGAAATCGCCGCACGCCTAGTGCCAGGTTGCGATCTGAGGGATACGAAACGCGCTGCGTCGTCCTCCTCGGCCATTCAAGCGCCGCGACTCGTGCCTTGTGGCGCTGACGACCATCCGGATCGCCAGGCATTGCAACAAAGCGACGTTGTCTAATGCGCATTGCCGCGTGACCGGTTGGTGTGCATCTGCCGAATAGGCATGGAGTACACCGCTATTTTTTGGGGGTTTGTCGGAGCAATCAAGCAGCAAGGTATGATGCCATGACAGACGCTCATCATCAATGACAACGAGGGCCCCAGCTGCATGGCCCAAGCTGCTTCTCGAAATTCTGCGGCGAATCTTCTGACTCGCCTCACGTTAAAAGTCTGACCGCGGCTTGGTGTCCTGGTGCCCCTGAACTGGGCGCTGCGAAAATTAGCATCGCCTTGTGTTCTACACCATTGGCGGCACGACGTCCTATTTGCTGGCGGGGCATCGGCCTCTGGGCCGCTGTGTCCGTTTAGGGAAGGAAAGCAAGCCGCAAGTCGCCGGCATGTTGCCATGTCGTTCACAGAGCGACAGGGTCTCCCCTGCTGTGGCGCGACTCAGGGCGCTAGTGCCTGTGAATGTCGGTAGAGGCATGCGGGCATCTCTAGCGCCGAGGATTTGGGTCCCGGGGAGTCGGGTTGCTCTGTTGATCCTGTTCCTCTTACGAGCCACGTCCAACGCTCTTGCAACTCTCCCTGGTCCGCCTTACTCGGTTCCTTCTAGCTCGTCCAATGTCGTGGATTCCGTCCAACCCGGACCGGTTTGTTCGATGAGCAGAAAGCTTCCCCAGCCCAGCCCTGGCCCACTTTCAGGGGGCTGCATTCGCTCTCGCATGCTCACACAGACTCACAGAGCCCGTCCGGTGACATGGAGTCACAAAAAACAGAGCTAGGTACAGCTCGGCTGCCAGCACTGCATTTTCCGGTCGCTTATCGACAGACGGTGGGCTGTTTCGTAGCAACGATGGCATCACGGATCCGCTACTCATTTTACATTCGCTGGTCCCTCCGCTGTCCCTATCCGCCCACACTACGTATCCATACCCACTGCCATCACCGCTTGTTCTCCGTTTCTTCCCCGCCGCCACAATCCTTGCTCATCCCAGCGGTCTATCCGTTTTGAGGACGCCACTTAAATCTTGCTGCTCCTTATATACCTTGTGACGCTCGCGTCCTTTGCAAACTGACTCTGACCTCTGAGCCCTGGAGGTACTAATCTGTCGCAAACTCGCACATGTCTTATTTGTCACAGCCGACTCCCACTTCACTTTGACATTCACCACCTGCTGTCATAGTATTTGACATTCTTCTTCGACGACCTCGACCTCTACACCTGCACACCACCTTACATTCGACCTCGATACTATCAACATGGCTCGGTATGGCGTGGCAGCTGCCGCGGGCAGCGATATAACACCTTTCCCAACCCGACAGATGGCCGTACTTGGTGAGCAGCATGCCATGATGTAGCAACACACGACAGTCGCTAACGATGGTAGCGTTGTGCCGGATATGCGAACCAATCGCATTCATGTCGATATTTCCCTACGCATACTTCATGGTCGAATCATTCATGACCGGACATTCCACCGCCCAAATTTCCATGTACACCGGCATGGTCACATCCTCGTTCGCATTCATGGAATGCATCAGTGGCATTTTCTGGGGCCGACTCAGCGATCGGGTAGGACGGAAGAAGGTCCTACTTGGAGGTCTTTTTGGTACGGGGCTGAGCATGTT